CTAGATCAAACCTACTAAAAATGCATCTGTGATTGGACCCAAGATGAAAATTATTAAAATGCATATGTAACTATAAGACATTCTTGGGATAATTAGAGAAAGTTAAGATTGGTTTGTATATAGGAATGGTGTTCACTTTTTAATTTTCTGAATGTAATCATTTTATTGTAGTCCAAAGGACAGTATCCCTTTGGAAGTGACATGCTAAACATTTTAGGGGTAAAGTATAATTTCTGCAACTTAAATGGGGAGAAAAATGTTTCATACCTTGTTTCTTTCACATAACATAACCTAGAGATACTCCCTCATCACTTACACCAAGTGCTTCCTTATTCTCTTTGAGGGCAACACAGTATCCCCTTCCATGGATGGAGGCAAGAGCCCAGGTCTGGAGCCAGACAGCCTGCAAGTCATTCATCATGCCAACTATCTTAGTACCACTAAAACAGAACGTATAGCGAAATGTCAACCACTGGTAACTTAAATAAGTGGTATACCGGATCTTATTGTAATATTCTTGCAATACTTCCTGGGGGGTTTGAGATTTTCCAAAATAAAATATTGGAAAAAATAAAGCCTAGGAAATGATGGAAGGAAATACAACAGGATGGTAAATAGTATTATTATAACGCTACTGATTTTCTCTTTTATATTTTTCTGTATTTAAAATTATCACAATGAACTTATTTAAATTCAGAAAAAAAATGTACAGCAGGAAAAAACCACTCTATTTTCCCCATTTTTATCTTCTAATGTTCCGTGTCAATTCCATAATCTGAAGTGACAACAGGGTGGACTCAGGAAGGAGGTAAAGCAGCTGTTGGTTGTGTAGGTGTGGCACCTCCCGGATGTTAGGGGAAGTGCTTTTTACCATTCATAGCATGCATTCCAGAACAATCCTCACCTCTGCTCTAAACATATATTTTGGGATAAGTCTCATCTCTGTTTCCTTGGGAAGCTGAGCAATGGTCGTAGATGTGGTCTACTTCCCTGATCAGAGAAACGTTCTGGCCAGGGCCTGTGAGACTCTGAAAACCTGCACAGAATAAGGTTAGAGAGAATTATTTAATAAAGCCTATGGGTTGAGCTAACTGAATACAATAATCCACTGATTTCCCCCAAAGTGCTTCACTTTCAGCCCACGGGAACCCTGAGACGTTGTGGTCTTGGCCAATTGAAGATCAGAGACGTCTCCCCACATAGCAGGAGGGCAGCACTGTCACACTGTCACTGCCACTATTTCTGCCTGGAGTCCCTTGGCCAGCCCACAGCTGTGGTGTGGCTTGAAAAGACACCGTGGCCCACTGTCATGGGATTCGGAGCACAGCTCTCCCGGTTAGGGGCTTCTGAGCACTGCTACTCTCAGCCGCCATGTCACTAGAACACTACGACACATGGCGATTCTGTGTCATCACAGAAGCCTGTAGGATTTCTGCCAGGTCAGGTCTTTCTTTTTTCATGAACTCCACCCTAATCGCTTTTCATTTTCTGTACCACTCCACACAACACCTCGTGTGTGCCTCAATGATAGCACTTTTCCCTTGACTTCATGTTATAATTTGGGGGTGTAAATTTCTGCTTATACAAATAATTTACACACCCTACTCTACCTTGCTTTTTGAACGTTTAATAGCTCTCAAATCATTCCTTCTCAGTTCATAGAGGTCTATCTCACTCTTTCTTCTTCTTCTACATCTCTTTGGCTTTTTTTTTTTTTTTTTGACTCTCTTGTCCTATTCCAGGATATTTCACTCTTTTGGGCATCTATGGAGTGTTGTGTTGTATGGCTATATCATTTAAACAGGACCCAATGACAGAAATTTAGCTGGCTAACAAAGGCAGAAATTCTGATGCCCAAGGTAGATTTTGTCCAGCCTCGTGTGTGTGTGTGTGTGTGTGTGTGTGTGTGTGTGTGCGTGTACATGAGTGTGCTTGGATATTATTGTCAGTTTACTTAGGCCTTTCTTGAAAGAAAAATGCTAATATTTCAGGTCACAACATAGATTCAAAACAGATAAAATATTAAAAATTTAATGCTGATTAACATCGATCTTCCATTATAGAAGTAGTTCATGCTCACAATAAATTCAAGCAATGCAGGGAGGTCTCTTTCCTTCCTACTCAATACTGCCCATTCATCCACCCTCAGAGGTAACCACCAAATAAGAAGCTGTCATGAGTCAATATTTTAAGGATAATTTAGTATACTTTATTAGACATTTAGAAGGTTGCTGTGTAATAACTAGAAACACAAAGCCGCGTTGGAGAACTCAGGAATCCATTGTACTCACAGGCAGGAGGCTGGTGCACAGCAGCAATGACCACACATTAGGGTTAAAGTTGTGAGCATCCCGATCCCACGGGTGTGAGATCAGGGCTGTGGGCTGCTATTCAAGAGCTGAGAGTCACTCACACCCTGGAATGTATTTCTGTTGGCTTAGGCACAATTCAGCCGTGAAGGCTTGTACTTTCCAACAAAAAGAGAAGAACAGAAAAACAAGGTCTCAAGATAGCATCTGCAGAGATCAATTTCCCACAGCAGGGTTGGTGGGGTGGGAAAGCAGTGGACAGCAATGGATCGAGGGACTCTGGCCCCACAGTAACTGCCCGGAGTGGAGGCCAGGCCTGCTTCCCCAGGGCAGCAGAACTAGCAGCATGTGCCAAGTGCTGTGGCCACCAGAGCCAGCACGCAGCAGAGGAGTAATCAAAGGTTTCCCATCTTTGTGCTTGGATGACATTGTATGAGATTGCCCTGCTACCTTAAAAATGGAAATAATTACTTAAACTACAGAGCATGAAAACCAAGGAGAAACATGCCATAAACTCCAAGGAATACGGAGAGAGAGGGCATAGACAGGATGGGATGGAGGAAAGTCTTACCAAGAGCACGGGTGCCCATAACTCCTGCCCAGCGCCGGGAGGCGCCTAGCAGCAGCACTGCTTCTTGCAGCCGCAGCTCTGCTGGCAGCAGCACTTCTGCTGGCAACAGCCCTTCCCGCAGCCGCCGCCGCAGCCGCACGAGCTGCAGGAGCGGCGGCAGCAGCAGATCACGGGCGTGCTGCAGCAGCCCCCGCAGCAGCCGCGGCAGCAGGGGCAGCAGGCGGAGCAGCAGCCCACCCGGTAGCACCTGCAGCCCCCGCAGCCGCCACTGCAGCCCCCGCAGCCGCCACCGCAGCCGCCACCGCAGCCCCCGCAGCCGCCACCGCAGCCGCCACCGCAGCCGCCACCGCAGCCACCACAACCACAGCAACCCATGGTGTCAGTAGAGAGGACTCAGGACAAGTGAGGAGGGAGGACTCAGTGGAGGTGAGGGAGGTCTGGTGCCTCCTTCTGCTGGGGGAGGCCCTTATATACCGCCACCCCACTTTATTTTTAGCCCAATATCCGTGGGAGAATCTCACATGACCTTTCATTTACTCCCGTCTTGAATACCTTGACATGATCACACTGCTAATTTTAGCACAGCAGTCTCCTTAGAAAGCCTCTGAGTGCTGCGCTGTCAATGAAATAACTATGTGTTGTGTCTATACTGCAGAGGTAGGAAAACGATTGCGGAAAAATATAAGAAAAAGTAGTTCAGGGGCTGGAGGTGATGCCTGTGTCTCTGACATGGGCCGTCACAGACATGTCCTGAGGGTCTGGGGCTGCAACCCGACTGCAGTGGGGGCAGGAAGAGTCCTTACCGCCTTCTCGTTGGCGAGGAGTGCATCAAGGAGGGTATTATGAGGCTTCCTTCTCGTGCTTTTAAAAAGTTGGCTTATAAAAGAGATGCCAATTGTAAACCCAGGGACAACAGCATTCTGAGGGGCGTGCAGCCACTGCAAAGCCAGGTCTGCCGGATCTGGACCTGCAGGGTGATTCTGAGAGGGGCAGAGGGCTCCCTACAGCAAGTCCCTGGGCCTCTTAGGTGAGCTGTGGGGAACAGGGAGGAGCTGGGCAGGCCTTGCATCCTGAAGACAGTCAAGCCAGCCCACAACCCTGTGGATCTCACCCCAGGCCACTGGGGCAGGAAATGGAGGACTGGCGGGTAGAGTCAGTGGACTCAGAAGGATCATTCCACATAAACATTCCATCAGCGCCTGGGCCTGGCCACAGGCCTGAGATGCCAGAGAGGCACAAGGGAAGGCCAGGCCCTGGATGAAACCTTCCTTACTTTGGTTCTCCCAATTAATTACCAGACAGACGATAGACAGAAGCCTCACTCCTGGCAGATGACTTAGAAGCAGGCCCCATATAATTGTATTTTTAGCATTGGAGGCTGCGGGATTGTTTTTTCCTGGGTAATTTTTATGGTCAAGCAATTCTTCTGGCAAATGAAAAATCTCAGGGAGCTACAGAAAGAATGCACAGGTTTTAAGGTGAGATATATGTGAAAGATAATGCATTTAAAAATGCCTACTGTGTTCCTTTTGATGCTGGTTTTTCACTCATTCTTTCAAGAAGTTTTTTATAACTTAAGGATGTGTGATGAATCCCAATAGGGAAGAAAACAATGTTTTGTGTCTAACCTGTGAGAACTAAGGATAAACAGAAACAAGAGGGCTTTTACCTGGCTTTGCCTTCAGATTCTTATGATTATAAAAATATGAAGATTATTCCTAAATATTCAATAAATACCTATTGGATACTTATGGTATACAATGTCTTGGGTGCTATTTTAACTCTGGAACAAAATATATGTACACGTTTAAGTTCTTAAGAACACAAGCCTCTTAGAAGGTTGTTGTAACCCAAGTATATTAATAGACTTAAGAGAGTAGCAAAGGTTAAATTTAGCAATATTAACTTGTCAAGATGTCAACAAGGAAGGACATAAGACGACTCGTGAGATCTTTTATGGGAATTGGGATAAACAATAACAAGAATGGGCCGTCTATTCTGGGCCTGGCTTGTTGGAGTTGGTATATAAGGGCCTCCCCCAGCAGAAGGAGGCACCAGACCTCCCTCACCTCCACTGAGTCCTCCCTCCTCACTTGTCCTGAGTCCTCTCTACTGACACCATGGGTTGCTTGTTGGTTGTGTGGCTGCGGTTGTGCTGTGGTGGCTGCGGTGCGGCTGCGGTGCTGGCTGTGGTGGCTGCGGTGCGGCTGCGGCTGGCTGCGGTGGCGGCTGCGGTGGCGGCTGCAGGTGCTACCGGGTGGGCTGCTGCTCCGCCTGCTGCCCCTGCTGCCGCGGCTGCTGCGGGGGCTGCTGCAGCACGCCCGTGATCTGCTGCTGCCGCCGCTCCTGCAGCTCGTGCGGCTGCGGCGGGCGGCTGCGGGAAGGGCTGTTGCCAGCAGAAGTGCTGCTGCCAGCAGAGCTGCGGCTGCAAGAAGCAGTGCTGCTGCTAGGCGCGCCGCTGGGCTGTGGACAGGCGCCGCAGGCACCTGCGCTGTGGGTAAGCCTCCCGTCTGCACGTGCTGGGGGGAGGCAACTTGCGCCCCTTGCCCAGTCTTTCCTGCATCCCATCCTGTCTACTCCTGCTTTCTCCCCGTCTCCTGCATTTTTCGGCAAATTCCTCCTTGGTTTTCATGCTCTGCAGCAGTTTAAGTAATTGTTTCCATTTTTAAGGCAGTCACATGGACATTGCATGCAATGTCATCCAAGATCAAAGAGGCAGGACATCTTGATTATTGAGCTCAGCAAAATGGTATAATAATTCTTTCTGTATTTTTTTCTTTGAATTTGTTAAAATCTATGATTAAGTCTTCTTGTCTGTACCACGTATGATCTGTCCTTTCTCTGGTCATAGATGCTTTCCTAAAAAATTTTTTTTGACATTTACTAATGTATGTTCTTTTATTTTAGGGCCTTAATTTAGATTACATCAGCCAAAAAACTTTTTTTCCTTTTATATTAATACCAATCTACCCATTTTTATTTTACTTAAAAAAATTGATACTTAAGGAATGGATGTATGTCTTTTGGAGGTATATGTGATAAATTCATATGCTGTATAATAATCAAATCAGCGTAATTGGGATATCTATCACCTTAAAGATTTATTTTTTCCTTTATGCTGGAAATATTCAAATTATTGTTTACTAGCTGTTTTGAAAAATATAATTGGTCAATGTTTACTATTCTCACTCTACTGATTTATAGAATACTAAGAATACTAGATCTTATTTCTTCTATCTAACTGGATTTTTGTACCCATTAATCAATCTCTCTTCATCTAAAAATTTCTTAATAAAATTTAAAAATAAACTCTGAACAGTTTCCCTTAGTTTTATCTTTATATTTTTCATCAAACTACCATTAATTATGATTTCCCATGGGTTGAGGCCATCAAGAATACACACATAATTATGCCCTTGTGTGATTTACAAGGCATTCATACACAAATAACCACCAACACAAGGTAGACTAATAATAAATATTTTGAAAAATCTACACTGATGTGGCATGTCATGGTGAGGAGGAACTCCACATTGTTGGATGGGGAGTGGGTGTAATTCAAAGGAACTGGAATAGCTTCAAGAAGGAAGGGTATTAACTGAGCAGCACCTAAGTGGACACATAGGTACTACAGTAATAGGGTATTGGGCAGGTGGGAGGGGGGAGGGGGGCGGGTAGTACATACATAATGAGTGAGATGTGCACCATCTGGAGGATGGTCACACTGGAAACTCAGACTTGTTGGGGGGGAAGGGCATTTTTTGAAACCTTAAAATTTGTACCCCCATAATATGCTGAAATAAAAATAAAATAAAATTAAAAAGAAGGAAGGGACATTTTGAATGTGTTTTGAAGAATTAGTAATGTTTTGACAAGTGGAGATGGTTGGGGGCAGATATTCCAAGAGGAAGGGCAAAAAAAGTGAGAATAGAAAATTTTGAGACATACATGGGCACTAGTAAGTCATCAGTGTATCAATATAGGTTGTTAGAAATCAGCAATGAAAGGAGACCATACCTACAATTTGCAAGGCTGAGGGCTTAAGCATAAGAGCAGCAGCTTGACTATTATAGGAATGCTACTGATTTTGCCACATTGATTTTGTGACCTGAGACTTTGCTGAATTTATTTATCAATTCCAGGAGTCTCTTAGTGGAATCTGGGGGTTTCCAGATATAAGATCATATCACCAGCAAAGAGTAGTAGTTTGATCTCCTCTTTCCCAATTTGGATACCCTTAGTTTCTTTCTCTTGCCTGATTGGTCTGGCTAGTGTAAGATACTGGGCTATTAGGACAAGGGACGCCTTCCAGCTTCTGTTTACTGCTTGCTTGCTAACTGCAAGGCATTATGGGTACATTATGGGATGCAGAGGAGAAAGACAAAGAACTCGGAAACTGGAGTCTCTCAGCTAGGACCCAGAACAGGTTGGAGCCTATCAGGGGCAGAATGAAGTAAGAATCACTGTGGGAGTGGAAGCATGATCAGCATGTAAACAGCTTAGATATAAAAGGCTCACTAGCACACAAGGGGAGGTCCCTGCCCAAAGAAGAGGCCACTGCGCTGGCACTCTGGGAGCTCGGACCCTAGCTCGAGCTAGACAATAAAACTCCTTTTGTTAATTACAGCCTCCGTGACTCTGTCTCTCTGTCCCGCTGCCCTGTGAATTTCGACTATAACACTAGGACTTCCAGCAATATGTTGAATAGAAGTGGTGATAGTGGGCAGCCTTGTTTTCCAGTTCTTAGTGGGAAAGCTTTCAACTTTTCCTCATTCAGTATGATGCTGGCTGTGGGTTTGTCATATATGGCTTTTGTAATTTTGAGATATATTTCTCCTATGCCAAGTTTGTCGAAGGTTTTTATCATGAAAGAATGTACATTTTGTTGAACGATTTTTCCGCATCTATTGAGGTGATCTTTGTTTTTGCTTCTGTTTATGTGGTATATCACATTTATTGATTTTTGTATGTTGAACCATCCTTGGCATCCCTGGGATGAAGCCCACTTGGTGGATTATTTTTTTGGTGGATTATGGTAGATTATGATTATGATGGATTATTTTTTTTATGTGCTGTTGAATTCAGTTTGCTTGTATTTCATTGAGGATTTTTGCATCCATATTGATAAGGAATGTAGTTTTCTTTTTTTGTTGTTTCCTTTCCTGGCTTTGGTAGCAAGGTGATACTGGTTTCATAGAATGAGTTGAGGAGGATTCTGTCCTTCTCAATATTATGGAATGATTTCTGCAGTATAAGTACCAACTCTTCTTTGTCAGTCTGATAAAATTCAGCTCTGAATTCACCAGGTTCTGGGCTTTTTTTTTTGTTGGAAGATTTTTTATTTCTGCTTCGATCTTGTTTCTCAAAGACTCAATACCATTCACAATAGCTACAAATAAAATAAAATACCTGGGAATATACTTAACCAAGGAGGTGAGAGATCTCTACAGAAAGAACTATGAAACACTAAGGAAAGAAATCACTGATGATGCAAACAAATGGAAAAAACATATGCTCAGAGATCAGTGGAATCAACATTGTTAAAATGTCCATACTACACAATGTGACTTACAGATTTAATGCAATCCCCATCAATATACCAATATCATATTTCACAGATCTAAAAAAAATAATTCTATGCTTTGCTTGGAACCAGAAAAAAGCCCAAATAGCCAAAGCAATCTTAACCAAAAAGGAACAAGTGTGAAATCATCACATTACTAGATTTCAAACTATACTACAAGTCTATAGTAACCAAAACAGCATGGTACTGGCAAAAAAATAGAGACATAGACCAATGGAAGATAACAGAAAACCCAGACATAAAGCCATCTACATAAAGCCAACTGATCACTAACAAATCAGACAACACTATACACTGGAGAAAAGAATCCCTATTCAATAAATGGTGCTGAGACAACTGGATAGCCACATACGGAAAAATGAAACAGGATCCACATCTCTCACCACTCATAAAAAATTAATTAAAAATGAGAAAAAAATTTAAGTGTAACACATGAAACCATAAGAACTCTAGAAGAAAATGTTCAAAACATTCCTCTAGATATTGGCCTAGGCAAAGAATTTATGAAGAAGACTCTAATGGCAATCATGGCAACAACAAAAATAAATAAATGGGACTTGATTAAATCAAAAAGCTTCTGCACAGCCAAGGAAATAATCAACAGAGCAAATAGACAATCTACATGAATGGGAAAAAATATTCACAAGTTTTATATCCAATAAAGGGCTAATAACCAGAATCTACAAAGAGCTCAAGCAAATCAGCAAGAAAAAAGAAATCAAACAACCCCATTAAAAAGTATGCAAAATTCATGAATAGAAGTTTTTCAAAAGAAGATAGACAAATGGCCAATAAACGTGAAAAAATGCTCAACATCACTAGCCATCAGGGAAAACAAATTAAAACCACAATGAAATGTGGTTTACCCCAGTTAGAATGGCTTTTATTAAAAAGCCCTAAAATAATACATGCTGGCATGGATGCAGAGAGAAAGGAATGCTTATACACTGTTGGTGGGACTACAAATTAGTACGGGACTACAAATTAGTACAACCTCTATGGAAAACATTATGGAGTTCCTCAAAGAATTAAATGTAGACCTGCCATTCAATCCAGCATTCCCACTACTAGGCATTTACCCAAAGGAAAGAATTCATTTTATGAAAAAGATACCATCACTCAAATGATTATTGTAGCACAATTCACAATTGTGAAGATGTGGGATCAACCCAAATGCCCATAAATTCATGAGTGGATTAACAAAATGTGGTATATGTATACATGGAATACAACTCAGTTATGAAGAAGGATGACTTAATGCCTTTTGCAACAATATGGATGGAACTGAAGACCTTTATTCCAAGGAAGTATCTAAAGAATGGAAAAACAAACACCACATATACTCACCATTAAATTTGAACCAACCAATGAGCACACATGTGCATAGAAAGAAGTAAAACTCAGTGGAAAGCAATCAGGAGGAAAGGAGGAGGAGGTGATGGGTGAAACCTACCTAATGGGCACAATGAACACTACCTGTGTGACAGGCACACTTATAACCCCGACTCAAGCATTACAAAAGCAATCCTTGTAATCACAAACGTTTGTACTGAAATAATAATAATAAAAAGAATAACAGAAGCAACAGCAACTAGCATTCATGTTGTCCTGAAAATCCAGGCGTTCTTCTAAGCACTTACGTGTGTGATTACCATGTTGCAATAGAAGCAGTATTATTATGCCTATTGCACAGAGGGGAAAGCGGCACAGAGAGGTCATCGAGCAACTTGGTCAAAGTGCACAGTTGCTGCTGGTGTAGCTGTGATGTGCATCAATGCTGTAGGCCAGCTAAGGCTTTCGAGAGGGGACACTTCACTGTGCACAATGGGCAGAATTAATCCGTCCGCAGTTAGAACAGAAGCTGTGTCAGTAATCCTGGGAAAAGCAATAAGGGCCTGAGACAACAGCAGAGTGGGAATGGCAGTATATCCATGGGAGTTAAGGGCATAATAGAAACTCAAGAAATGAGGGTAACATCTGCAATCACTAAATAGACAAGATGACACTGGTGATCTAACGATACATAGTGACTTCGATTTTTCTTTTCTTAGATATTTGGGAAATTATACATGGTAGCCCATTTTAAAATTTATATTAAATATGGTAGACAACTAGTTGAGGAATTGGCCATTTCCTTTTAACATTGTTTCAGTCTGTAAGGTATGGAGGGAAAGGAAATTTATAACATACATGCATTATCTAATGAATGTACATGATAACTGCTTCATAAATCACTCTGATCCTGCTCATGGTGTATTCTATTGCAGATGCAGCCTGATATGGTTATTTTCAGAAGAGGCAGGTCTGCTTGATTTGCAATATTGGCCTGACCTAAAAAGATCTAGGCTTGAAAAAATTTCTTTTTTTGGCCTACTTATCTAAATTTGATCTTTTCATTCCTTTTAGGGAGAACATTTTGATGCAGACTGTAGACCAGAAACATATTTTATATGGATCACAGGGCTTGACACACATAGTTTGCCAATAAATATTGTTACAATGTGCAAATGGTATGTATATCATATATGCAATATATATAAACATGACATATATGTTATAAAAATTATGTATGTTTATATATATTATTCATATTCATTATAGTATACTTATGTTCTATATGATATTCATGCAGATAGGCTATGCATCTGTTACGTATAAGACAGATACATATCACGTTATATACATGTTATATATGTTATATACAATATTTATGTACCCATATATGTTATGTGCATATACATATGTGTTTATGTGTATGTATAATACACATATATGTTCTCAGAGTCCGACAAAATCATGACAACACATGACTTTGTAAAATCTAGTAATTGGTGGGACACATGTTGTGAAGGCTTGCCTCCACTTCATTGTGTCTCTTCCTTCCTGACCTTTGGGTCAACTGTGATTCCTGGGGCTTCAACCTGTGTTTACCTCATTCTCCCTGGCTTCCACCATCCAGGCTCTCACAGGTTAGAGTATCACCAACGTCCTGCAGCCACTTCAATCCAGCCAAAGCAAAGACATACAGGTCTTCTGTATGTACTTAGATAAAGATTGTCCTTGAATGGCGTGTTTGTGCAGGCTGTCTTGGGAGGAGAAAGGCAGGTACAGGTGTGAAGGGTGGGTGCGTGGCGTGGGAAGGTGGGCAGTGGACAAATGATGGCTGGTTTGCCGTTGGATGTTGAAAAGATGAGATTTGGCCTATATTGATTTTTCTTTGGACCTGACATCTGCCTTTTTTTGTTTTTAAAGGTAAAACGACCAGTTTAGCAAAGATGCCCAAAGTTGAAATAGAGCCTTGCTGACTTTCTGGCTTATTCTGCAATTTAAGTTCTCTCAACATGAGGGTGTGCTTTATAGGGTGTTTCACAGCATCCCTGGCCTTCACCACGGATGCCAGTAGTACCTTGGTGGGAATTATTGGTGGGAATTATTGGTGGGAATTATATATATATATAATTTAAAAAAAAACTGTTTCACATTGAGAAATCTTTAGGCTCTGTGTTCTTGATGCAAATGCTAAGTATTTCTCTATGCCTGTAGCATTCCTGGTTTGAAATTTAAATTTTGGTAGACTCACCTAAGTTGCTACAATTTGAACTCCTATTAATGGCATCTGAATTGCCGCCTCCTCCCGGCCCCCCATTAACACTGGGTACTACTTCTGCCAATCTGAAAGAGGCATGGGGCATTTTACTTGAGTGTCTGTCACCCCAGGCACTCAAGTGCCCCATTTCCTCATGTTTATTCACCACCACTGTTTCTCTTTCTGGCAACTGCTTGTTCATATGTTTTAGGGAAGTTCTCAGACCTCTCTGCGTTACTTTCATCATTTGCAAAATGGGGACCACGGTGTCTTCCAACAACTTTGTTCTGGAAAGAAAACTGTGTATTTCACTTGCAGGGTGTTTCGTATAATGCCCGGCCGGGGGAAGTGCTCTATTGTCATAACTACCATTATTACTGCGTGCTGATTAAAGGCAGAGTTGGTCTGCAGGGCATCCCTGAGAGCCGACTTTGATGGGCAGCAGCAATTTGGCAGGATGCCATCACACCGACAGGAGGCACTGACTCTGTGGTCCCTCTGCCAGGTACATCTCTATCATACACCGGAACCCATCTGGCTCAATGCTTGCGGACATTAAGTTTGTACAAATAACTCCATTTCTTCTAATCCGGTGTTGGCCAAGGGAAGCTTTCATGATCATTGGGTCTCCCTGTACAGTTCATTTTAATTAACTAAATAATTAAGTAATTGCTTTTAAGAGGATACCACAGCCAGAGGATTTAAGAGCTGGCCCGCTATGGTAATTATTTATTTATTTATCTTTAAGTAAATCGATCACTTCTGGTCTATCTAACTGCCTTGTTTGGGTTTGGTAGCCTGAGTCACTGTTTGAGGCCCAGAGGCCTCCGGGCCTCCCGCCAGCCCAGCTGGGTTTCCACGCAGATCTAAGGTGCAGGCACCCATCCGCTTTGCCAGGTGCGTTTGCATTCTTCCCTTGCTCCGTATTTCTTTAACTTTGACATAGGAGACAAGGAGTGGGTTGCTGGTTTTAATATGGATATCGACATTTCTCCTTTGAAATTCATAATCATTCAAAGGCTTCTGTGCTCCTCCTAAGCATGGCCTGCAAATCCTTATGTGGTCTAGTCTTTAGCTACCAGCTTCTAGTGTGCACCTCCGCCCCCACAGGGCTCCAGCTGGCCTGTTCTTAATCTTCTCTGCCCCAGGGCCTTTGCATGTTCTGTTCCATCTACTTAAAGCACATTTCCCCCCAGATTTTGCACTTCTGGCCCCTGATCATCGCTCAGTCAGGTCTCAGTTCAAAATTTAATTCCTTAAGGATGCATTCTGCCCCATTTTACTGTCACCATTGCACTTCTCACACACTGACATCATATGTATTTGCCTTTTATGATCTGTTTTCCTCCACAGTCTGTGCAAATGTCATAAAAGTCTGTCTGCTTGAGTGCTATATCCCCAGAGCTGGGACTGGCCTGTGGCAGTCAATACAAACGAGCAGAATGCAAAAGAGAAAAAGGATGGCCTGATGTCTGTAGGGACTGGGTCAGCAGTGCTATTTCCCAGTCTCTCAGGTGCCAATGCCCCGGTGTGGCCTTCTAGCCCTTCCCGATCGAACGCCAACCTTTTTCTCTGAGCTCAATTTTTAAAATTTCCCTTCATTCAAACCATGTTCATATGAATTCACACACTTTCCTCCACCATTTTCTGCTTTTTAGACACTGCTGTTCATTTCTCTACCTGGAACGCACTTTCTGCTACCACTTTGGCAGGTCTCTGCGGGGCGGGGCGAGACGTCCCCACGTGCGTAGCTGTGCTCCGGATGCCGGGCAGCCTCGTGATGCTGTTTTATGAGTCGGTTGGAGTCCAGGAAAGAGCCCTCGCAGGGTGAGCATGAAGCGATTGGTGAAGGAGATCAGGGCTGGTCTCGGCGTCCTTGCCACTGTCCCCATTCTGTGACTTAGGTCGGTGGGTGGGTGGAAGGGGCATGTCTTCCCCTGGGTTCAGTGGCTCATGTGTTCTTTTTCTTTTTCAGAACTTGCTCCCAGGAATTGTTTCATAGCAGAAGTTGGTTATTAAAAGCTATGTGAATATATTTAAGGTGAGAGGTGGAGATGAATTTTCATTTAACATTTTACTCTTAATTGGGGACTGGTTGCCTTTGAAGGACTGTCAGCCACGGTTACTAGTTGGGGCAGGAGCATTTTGGTGATGTTCTGTACAAGGCTTGACATGGAAAGGAAAGTGGCTTAATGGATAGCACGCACAATGTTAATCCACTAGAATAATAATTATGCAAGATAAAGGTTAATGGCACACCAGGTAATCACTCAATGACTTCTGCACTATCCCTTTGGCACATAGCACAAGAGAATAAAGTGCGCTAGATCCAGGAAAGGGCAAAGTTTAATAATTGGCTATAATACATCTTTATAGTCATTTCCTCAGACTTTGTTTTTACAGTCGGGAGAATGGCGGCTAAATGATTAACACAGTTGATAGCTACTGCTCTTTGTCTTCGAAAAAGCACATGGTGTTTTGTGAATATGTGCATATGTGTTTGTTTGTGCATCTTAAATCAAGCATTCGCAAATAACACAGGAGTTTCCTTGTTTTGTTTTCTCATACTTAGCCCTCTTCATCGCACTTATTTCTAGGGAAAACTGCTGAACTGGGATCATTCTCACAACATACATATGTGGGTACGGAGCACCTCTCATCCACGTACTGACCAGGCCTGACCTTGCTTAGCTTTGGGATCAGAGATCAGGCACATTCATGGTAGCATGGCCATATCTTATATAAGACATAGCATACATTATGTAGATAAATGCTATCCCTGCATAAACATGCATGTCTTCCTTCCACCTCATAGTTTTTGAGTTGACTTACCAGATCTCAGAGTGGAGAAATGGAAGAAGCCCAGAAAGACAAAATCAATTTACATTAGGAGGGACAGAGAAGAATTAGATCACACACACACACACACACACACACACACACACACACACACACACACAAAAGGCAGGATCCTGAGAGAAGAAAGCCAAGACTGAGTTCCTTGGGAATGTGGGGGTAGTTTTGAGAGCCTGGGAAGAGTAAGGAGGAACACTTGATAGACTGAGGGGGGAAGATATTTAGGACTCCTTTCTCTGGCTGCTATAATTTGCTTCCCATTTTAAACTTCGATAAGAGATTGCAGTGAAGATTCATATTGCTTGTTACTTTTTTCTTGGATAACTTTGATTTTGTGCTGAGCTGGACCACAAAGCAGCACAGCTTTATGAAAGATGCACACATCTGTCTATCTACCACTCTGTCTAAGCTCACATTAATTTTATGTTGTAAAAACACAGACATTAAAACAGTCCAGAACTGGACGACTTAGAAAGCAAAAGCCCACGGTGAATCTCATCACGTAAGTAAAACATTGTTACATTTGGTGGTTATGCTTGCAGGATTTTTCTATGTAAATACAAATACACTTAACATATTCAAAATTAGACTTACGTTCTCTATACTGTCAGGTCATTCAATATGAAATGTCCAATTTAGAACCAAAAGTGTATTTTATTGTATCTCAAGCGAGAAGCAGTCCAATTAATCAAAGCATGTGCCTAAACTCTCAACACAGTTTTGTCATCTTAACAGTAGGTAGCTTGTTCGTGCCTGGAGAGTGAGTGGCAATGAACTTGTGAAAAGTGTTTTCCACAGCTTGTTGAGAATTGAATACTTTTCCTTGCAGCAAGTGGTCCAAAGCCTGCAAGAAGTGGTAGTCAGTTGGTGCAAGGTCTGGTGAATACAGTGGATGACAGAGAGTTTCCAAGTCCAGCCTCTGTAGTTTGAGCAGTGTTGTTTGTGTGACATGTGGTCCAGCGTTGTTTTACAAGAGGATTGGCCCGTCTCTATTGATCAATCTCGGCTCCTTAATCCGCAAGCATCCTGATTATTTTGTCCACCTGGTTGCAGTAGACATCTGCTGTAATCGACTGACCAGGTTACATGAAGCTGTAGTGGAAAATACCAGCGCTGGACCACCAGACACCATTAGCTTTTCCTGATGAGTATTCGGGTTTGGACTGTGTTTCAGCACTTCATAATTATCCAACCATCGTGCCGAACACTGCGATTGTCAGAAAGAATTGATTTTTCATCATAAAATATAGAATTGGCTTGTCTTTATGTTATGACAACAAAGAAAGGCAAGCTCGGAGATGAATTCTCTTCTGATGCTCATTTAAGTCATGCAGAACCCACCTATCCAGCTTCTTTACCTTGCTGATTTGTTTTAAACGGTCCAATATTGTTGGAATAATAATGTCAAACTTTGCTGCTAGTTCATGGGTAGGTTGAGATGGATTTGCTTATCACTACAGCTTTTAGCTCATCATTATCCACTTTGGTCTCACTCACGTGGCTCATTTTCAAGATTAAAATCACTGGAATGGAACTTCTCAAACCATCGACATACTGTGCATTCATTAGCCACATCCTTCCCAAACACTTCATTGATATTTTGAACTGACTGTGCTGCACTTGTTCCATAATGCAACTCATATTCGAAAATAACATGATTTTTTGACTTATACATGGTTTCACTAAAATTGCTCTAAAAAATTTTGAAAGATAATCACAAGCCAAACTGTGCATTTAAAAAACTGATGATGTACCTTCACAATAAAAATAAAACAAGAAGTGTCAAAGTGAAATATCAGAGATATCAACTGTGAAACTTAGTACTTAAGGAAATTGAACATTTCATACTTAATAACCTAAAATATATGCTTTTGTGCAACTTGCTTTTTTCACTTGAGTATTGCCTGTCACTTCTATAGTCTACACATATTTTTAAAATAATTCTTGCAAAGTTTTCCATTTTATAGGTTTACCACAATTTATTTAACTGTGTCTCCAGTAATGAGCATTTATTTTGTGTCTAATTTTTCTATATTTTACACAATGCTGCAGTGAGTATCCTTGAACATAGAGACATATAGATTCTACCAGAAACTACCCTTTAAGAAAAGACTTGCCTATTTTTTTTTTCTTGTAGTATTTGTCAGTGAAAGCACTGCCCCAGTGTCATAAATATGGGTCCAGAGGGCTCTGGGTCTCTAAGTGTCCTCCCAAACCTGCAGCATATGGTTTTAAGTTATATCAGTAATTTCCTTTTCTAACATTATTGGCTTTGACTGGAAAGAATAAAAAATGCATGAAATGATAACATCATTCTCTGGCCTATAATCTTTCCCTATTCAATATGTTATTTCTCCTGCTAGCAGGAAAAAAAAAAAAAACCCATAGCTGCTGGTTTATCTACTTCAAGTAATAGGACAACACGCTTTCCTTAAATAGTAAAATGCAGGAAAGAGCAATCGTCATGGGAAATTAATTTTGCTTATGTATTCCAAATTGCTTGTTAAGCTTTTTTTCTTATGCCTAAATTCAGAACTGCTACAAATGGGCTTACTTTCAACCCTGTTACCTTGACTTAAAGGAGGTATGCTCTAATACAGGCGTCCTCAAACTACGGCCCATGGGCTACACGCCGGCTGCCTAGCACATTTATCTGGCCCTCTGGGTGTTTTTGCTGCCGCTGCCTGTCCTGCTTAGCAGCCAGCCGACTTGTCCCGGGCTCACAGTGCGCACCCTCCAATGGTCTGAGGGACAGTGAACTGTCCCCCTGTTTAAAGAGTTTGAGGACCCCTGTGTCTAATATCTGCAGTTATAGCAGTGCAGCCAAGTAATATCTAATATTTATATGTCTCTTTATGCTTTAGACAAATCCTTTCACAGCCATAAGTAAATGAGTATATACCCTTAAAGGTAAACTAATATCATTATATTCAAAATAGATAAATTAGGTGACTTTCCCTTATATTCAATGCAGTAATGTAAATTCTCATTAGATGACACTCCTTAGACATTTAAATATACTCAACATACTGGTTTCAATGCATGCAACATTTCATAGACTTTGTTAATATCTACAGTGGTATTTCTCAGGTGTGGAATTTGGCCCCTTGCCTTGGAATCACCTTAGAGTCTAGTTAAAATGCAGATTCCTGGGATCTGCTCTAGACTTAAGTGATCAGAATTGCTGGAATGATGGTTCCAGCAGTCTTCATATTCAACAAGAGATGATGGTATTTCTCATCCTGCCTGAATTTTCTATATCTATAAATGTTTTTGGGGTCTCCTTTGTGCTTGGGTGTATTGTGCATTGGGTAGGTGTGCTAGACAGAATAATGACCCCCAGTGATGTCCACTTTATAACCTCTAGAACCTAGGAATGAAGGACTCGGAACCTTATGTGGCAAAAGAGACTTTTAGATATGATTAAACATCTTGAGATGGGAAGATTATCCTGGAATATCTGACTTGCAGGGTGGAGTGTCGGAGGCAGAGGAGATGTGATGACAGAAGCAGAAGTCAGAGCAATATGATTGCTGGAAAGGGGCCATGGCCTGAGGAATGCAGGTAGCCTCCTGCAGCTGGAAAAGCAAGGAAACACATTCCTCCCAGAGCCTTGAAGGAGAGTGTGGCCTTGCTGACACCTTGACTTCCTCCTAGTGAAATTGTAGGTTTTGGACCTCCAGGACAGTAAAACAATACATTTATATTTGAAGCCACTAAGTTTGTGGTAATTTGTTACAATAGCAATCAGAAACTAATAAAGCTGGTGTCAATGTCTCTCTGGAGATTGAATTGTTAGCTAAATGTGCAACTATGGTTGTTAATGTTGTATCCCTAGAATGAGCCTAGGGCCTGGGACATAGAAAGTGATCAATAAAGGTTTATTGAATAAATGAAAAAAATGACTGAGTGATTGATGGCTGTGCTCATATGGTTTTGACTTGATTGCTTCTCTAAAGGCTGGGATGGCTGGGATCACAATGCCCGAATTCTCAGAGATGTAGGTGATGCTTGTGGTGTCCCTGACCAGGTCTGGACATCTAGTCTGACTATACCATCCAGCCTGTGGCCCTCAAAAGTGGCAACCTTATGTGTTCCCTTTCTATTTTATGATCAATCATAGCTCATGTCTTATTCCATTTTCTGTTGCTTATAACAGAATATCTGAAACTGGGAAATTGATAAAGAAAAGGCATTTATTTCTTATGGTTATGGAGGCTGAGAAGTTCAAGGTTGAGGGGGTGCATCTGGTGAGAGCCTTCTTACTGGTAGGTTCTCTCTGCAGAGTCCTGATGGGAACTCTGGTGCAGGGCACTGCATGGTGAGGGGACTGAGCTTGCTAGCTCAGGTCTCTCTTCCTCTTCTAAAAAAGCCACCAGTTCCCATCCCATAATAATCCATTAATTCATGAATCGGTTAATATATTCATGAGGGCAGATCCAATCGCCTCTTAAAAGCCCCACCTCTCAATATTGCCACATTGGAGGTTAAATTTCAACATCAGTTCCTGGACGGGACAAATATTTAAACTATATAGCAACTTATTAAGTGGTCCGTCATACCTTTAGATTTCAGCTGTAACTAAAATTTCAAATTTAGATCTTAAGCACACAGATATTTCTTGAACATTTTTATTTCAGAAAAATTATCAGTCTGCCTAATCAAATGAATGCTATATTTTTCCTATAGCCAATACATTTCTAAGGGAAATTTAATAGATTTTTAGAATATAAATCTATCTTTAGGTTGCCAATTTTTTCTCCACTTCCATAGAAAATAGAAATAGGGAACCTAAAATCAAATTTCAAGGGACTTATGCTCAACTCAGGTCAATCTATCCAATGGGCACTGATTGTTTCCCATGCCCTGAGTTCAGAGGAGGAGGCTTGCCTGTCCTCGTCTTGGAGAATCTCAATCTTTTGTCACATCTAAACATGTTGAGTCTGCTAAAAATTCTGCTTTCCCCCATGTACTGACCACAGATCAGCATGTGGCAACCCCATTCAGTCGAAATTCAAGTAGTCACATGAGGCAAGGTGGGATTTTTTGGAAACCCCATTAGCAATTAATGAAATGATTAGAAATGAATTAATTAAATTAAGAAGTAATTAACAGAATTAATTAGTTAGTTATACCATTAGAAATAACTTTTTCCATTATATATTATTTCATCACAAAGCTAAAACTTATTGGCTTAAAACAACAGCTATTTTATTCTCCCTATATTTCTGTGCGCTGACAGGGCTCAGCCTGCCCATTCTTCTACTCATCTCATTTAGTGGCACTCAGATGGCACTCGGGGCTTCAGTACTGGAGGTTCCACATGGGACAGGGTCTGGCCTCTCTTCCTCTCCCCATAGTGTCAGGTCTCACTTCATGTGACCATTTCCTTTCTTGGAAAGGGAGTGAAAAGAAATTCACGGTCATCTTTAATTCACCACGTTGGACTATGCTTAGATTCTTTTTTTATAACTCAACATAATTTCCTGAGCTTTTAAAGTCAATCTCGTTTTATTCCTGGCTCCTAACATAGTTGCTTTAATGGGGGGAGAAAAGATGCATTTCCATAAAACTGAAGGCTATCTTTATTGGAAAATGAATCAACTTGCACTAACTATATGAAAAGCCTTTCATAAGAGTTAGATGCTAGCACCAATAATTATGAGACTATGGCAATTTCTTTCCTTTTTTCAAGAATGCAATATATTGTTATTAATGACAGCCACCATTTTGTACAATATAGTAATGCCTCTACCATTTCTATTATGCTGGAATATACAACAAGCGATGGAAAGAGAGAAGAGTTAATTTGGGGGTATTGAGGGAGATGTGAGGAGGAGGAAAACTCCATCAATGAGTTATCATGAGCTGGGTCTTCAAGAAAGCGTAGGAGTTTGCCTGTCAGGAAGAGGAGTAAGTGTTTTCCAGGCAGAGACCACAAATGGAACACAACTGGAAACAGAAATTGGGACTGTTGGTCTGGAAATTGGTCTGGAAGACATTCCAGGCACGTGTCAAGGGAAGAAGACAACAGTTACCGTAACACGCGTGTGGGGAGCAAGAGGACAGTGGAACTTGACGGGAGATTAAGTGGAGAGGTCACCGGTGAGAGGTCAGCGTGGGAAAGGCATGCGGTGCAGGGAAGGTTGTGCAGGTGGCAGGATGGACGGTAGAGACAGATGATCTAGAGCCAACGCTGAAGCCCAGGTGGACTTGGGTAAGGTGGGTGAGGGTATTCAGACTCTACCTCCAGGCAACTGTGCACAACGCAGGACTGTGAAGCAGAGGAGTGGTGCGCTCAGAACCCAGCTCTAGACAGTCCTCTCTCATGGAGGAGGAAAAAGGCAAAGGGTTTGAACTAGCAACTCACAGAGCAGGTACTACGCATGGCCAGGAAGCTTCTCAAATAATGTGGAAAATGTGAAACCTTAAGGATAGTATTAGGAGACTCCTGCAAAGTGGACTCTGCTATTGATGTTTAAACACGTAAGATTCATCAGTCTGCTGGAAGAGACAGATACCTAGGAAATTAAAGGTAAGACAACAGGTAACTTGCAATGAGCTCTTACGACTTCTAAGCACTTTTCATACATTAGCTCATAACAATTCACACAAACCCCCTATGTGGTATGTTCTGTAACTGTCTCCATTTTACAAATAAAGATAACGAGGCACACAGGAGCATTAGGGGTCCCAGCCCCAGGGTCGTTTAACTAGCTGCTGGCGATGCTGATGCTGGTGTTTGCAGACGCGCTTAAGCGCCGCCCTCTGCTGCCACCTGGTGTCCCACCGTGGTGAGCGCCACGGCGGAGGCGTGCCCGGCCGGCGTGGGGAGTCCAGACGCGGCTCCCTGGGGGATGCGAACTGGAAGCAGAAATTGGGAATGTTGGTCTGGAAGACATTCCAGGCCGAGGCCCAGCGCGTGTCAAGGCCAGAAGACGACGGTTCCCGCAACATGCGTTTGGGGGACGGGAGGAAAGCGGAACGTGACCGAAGGTGAAGTGGCGAGGTCGGTGGGGGACCGGCCTGCGGGGGCCTGGACCTGGTAGGGCGCTGGGACTTTATTCGGGGGCCCACGGGAAGTCCCCCAAGAGCTTTCCGTTGTCGCCGCGGTGCCGTGGGGGGGCGATTCGCGTTTTACGTTAATAAATTCCCTGGCGGCCGCGGGGAGGTGGCCGATGGGGGACAGCCGGGGGAGGGGACGGCTGGGCAGGGCGCGGCGCGGATGGACGGGGCGTTTAGGGGCGCAGTCGTGGGGACGTGGTCAGCGGGTGTGAGGCCGGGCTCGCGGCCTGAGCGACGGGGACGATGATGTGAACGAGACGCAGGGGACGCGCCGGGGACACCCAGAGAAACACCTCGTGACAATTGTCCCGCAGCTCTTCCCGCAGCTCCGAGGCTGTGATCCGCAGCCTGGGCGACTTTGCCCCGCAGGGGACAACTGTCAGGTTCTGGAGACAGTTTTGGACGTCGCCTCCGGCGGGGGGTGGCGGGCGCCAGAGGGCGCAGCTCAGCGTCCTGCTAGGGGCCACGGGTCACGGGACAGTCGCCCCGCGGGGCTCGCCGCGTCGCTGTCCGGCGGGGACCGCGTCAGTCCCGCAGTCTCGGCCCCTCTCGCGGCGGCTCCTTAACAGGAACAAGGCCTGACACAGGCGTTGGGGCTGATCTCCAGGGATCCACACAGGACCCTGCCCACGACGGCCGGGCCGCCTTCGTCCCAGGGTCCCCGCCGTCCCAGGTCCCCGCCGTTCCAGGGTCCCCTCCGTCCCAGGGTCCCCTCCGTCCCAGGGTCCCCGCCGTCCCAGGTCCCCGCCGTCCCAGGGTCCCCGCCGTCCCAGGGTCCCCGCCGTCCAGGGTCCCCTCGTCAGTCCCGCCGTGCCAGGGTCCCGCCGTCCCAGGGTCCCGTCCCAGGGTCCTGCCGTCCCAGGGTCCCGCCGTGCCAGGTCCCCGTCCGTGCAGGGTCCGCCGGTCAGGGTTCCTCGTCCCAGGTCGCCGTCCAAAGGGTCCCCTCCGTCCCAGGGTCCCCGCCGTCCAGGGTCACCAGCCGTCCCAGGTCCGCCGCCGTCCAGGGTCCCCGCCGTCCAACGGGTCGCCGTCCAAGGTCCCGCCGTCCAGGTCCTCCGTCCAGGGTCCCGCCGCCAGGGTTCCCCGCCGTCCAAGAGATCCCGCGGTCCCAGGTCCTCCGTGCCAGTCCGGCCGTCCCAGGGTCCCGGCGTCCCAGGTTCCCGGGGTCCCAGGGTCCCCGCCGTCCAAGGGTCCCCGCCGTCCCAGGGTCCCCCCCGTCCCAGGGTCCCCCTCCTGTCCCAGGGTCCCCCCCCTCCCAGGGTCCCCTCCGTCCCAGGGTCCCCGCCGTCCCAGGGTCCCCTCCGTCCCAGGGTCCCCTCCGTCCCAGGGTCCCCGCCCGGGCGACGCGCTAGCGGCCCCGAGCGCTAAGAGCCGCTCCTGCGGCCCACTGAGCTTCCCTCCCGCCTATTTCGGGGAAGTGGACGCTGGGGGCTGAGAGGGACCCTGCTTTTCCCTTAAGCTGCGCTGCTTTGCCCCAAGGACGAGCACAAGGCTTCCCCCTCTGCCCATCAGCTTCTGGCCACGGCGTCGGCTTACAGTCGCCTCTCCTTGCCTCCCAAACCGCACCGTTCTGTTTGGATGAAACTAACCCATTTCCTCTAATTGATAACACCAGGCTGACAGTTGAGAATGATCTTCTTAAAAACTGTTCTTTTTTTATTTTATTTTTTTTATCTATGCAGGACATCTGCAGGACGGACAGAACACTGCCTTACGGGAAATCAGAGACTGCTCACGCACTGAACGTTTGCCCGTACTCAAATACATTATTTTCTCTGCTTGGGGCACAGCCAATGTTTAAGGAAAGCATCTGCAACTTTTGCTTGCCAGTTTTAGATAGAAAAAGCACAGGTTAAAGTCTGGGCAGCGGATGCATTAGGAGATGGTGATTTAAAAAAAAAAATGAAGGAGGACACACTGATTTAGGAAATGAAAGACAAAGCAAGATGGTGTGGGCACAGCTTGTCAATCTCACACTTGCCAGAAATAAGAATAAGAATAAATATATTTATTATAAATAATAAATTTGCTTTGTGGTTTTAGAATGCCACTTGACTCGGTTTCTTCATTGGTTTTGAAAAATAACCAAATTTTTTAATGTCGGGGTGGTGTAGGAAGCATTGTTCTAAGGTTTTTGTGATGATACGGTAAAGGGTCCATGAAACAAAATGCGGATGTTGGGCCTGAGATGACGCACATTGTTCTTACGTCAAGAAATAAAAAAAAATTTCCTCCTTTCGTACTCCTCCTCCAGCTTTAAGATATTAATTTCTATTATATTCAGATATGATGGAGAAGCTTCCCAAATGCTTTCGTATAAACTGGAGAAATGGGAAGGGATTTTATGGCTTCTTATCAGTTCATTATTCATTTGAGGCCTGGGCCCCAAAGCAGAGAACGGAAAGCTGTGAGATGAGAGTCTGGTTAAACCTAAAACCTGCAAACCTTTAGCTGCTGGGGACTGACTGTCTCACTCTCAGGGCTGATCTGATACTAGACTTTCACAAGAAAAATCTGGAGTCATAATATGCAGAATAGTCTAATTTTGTATCACTCTTTGCTTTAGTACATTCAGGCTGCTGTAACAAAAATACCATAAACTGGGTAGCTTATAAACAATAGAAGTTCATTTCTCACACATCTGGAGGTCCAAGATCAAGGCACTGGCAAATTTAGCGTCTGATGAGGGCTCCTTTCTCATAGATGATGCCTTTTGGTGTGTCGTCACATGGTAGAAGGGACTAGTTTGCTCCCAGGGGTCTCTTTTATCAAGGCACTAATCACATTCATGAAGGTAGATCCCCCACAACCTAATCACCCCCAAAGGCCTCACCTCCTAATACTTTCACATTGGGGATTAGGTGAATTTTGGGGGGGACACAAACATTCAGATCATAGTACTCCTTTTATGTTAAAGTTCATGGGAAGACTCAACATTGCTGAATACTGTTGATTTTTTTAATTCTTTTTAATTTTTACATTTTTAAAATTTTTAATTTTTTTTATTTCAGCATATTATAGAGGTACGAATGTTTAGGTTGTATATATTGCCTCTGCCCCACCTGAGTCAGAGCTTCAGGGGTGTCCATCCCCCAGACAGTGTACACTGCACCCGTTAGGTCTATATATACTCCTCCTCACCTTCCCCTCCCATCTGCCCCACGCCCGATGAATATTATTCCTATATGCCCACTTAAGTGTTGATCAGTTAATACCAATTTGATGGTGAGTACATGTGGTGCTTGTTTTTCCATTTTTGTGATACTTAGTAGAATGGGCTCCAGCTCTACCCAGGAAAATACAAGAGGTGCTATGTCACCATTGTTTTGTGGCTGAGTAGAACTCCATGGTATATATAGACCACATTTTATTAATCCACTCATGTATTTATGGGCACTTGGGTTGTTTCTAGGTCTTTGCATTTGTGAATTATGCTACTATAAACATTCGAGTGTAGATATCTTTTTTTACAGAATGTCTTTTTTTCTTTTGGGTAGATGACCAGTAATGGGATTGATAGATCAAATGGTAGTTCTACCTGTAGCTCTTTGAGGTATCTCCATATTACTTTCCATAGAGGTACTAGTTCACAGTCCCACCAGCAGTGTAGGAGTGTTCCTATCTCTGCATCCACACCAACATTTATTATTTTGGGACTTCAATAAAGGCAATTCTCACTGGAGATAAGTGATATCTCATTGTGGTTTTGATCTGCATTTCCCTGATGATTAGAGATATTGAGCATTTTTCTTGTTTGTTGGCCACTATTCTGTCTTCTTTTGAAAAGTTTCATGTCTTTTGCCCACTTTTTGATTCAATTTTTTTCTTGCTGATTTTTCTGAGTTCTGTATAGATTCTAGTTATCAGCCCTTTATCGGATGTGTAGCATGCGAATATTTTCTCCCATTCTGTAGGTTGTCCATTCACTCTATTGATTGTTTCCTTGGCTGTGCAGAAGACTTTTAATTTGATCAGGTCCCATTTATTTGTTTTTCTTCTTGCTGTGATTGCCTTTGGGGTCTTCTTCATAAATTTTTTTGCCTAGGCCAATGTCTATAAGAGTTTTTCTAACATTTCCTTCTGGAATTCTTACAGTTTCATGCCTTAGGTTTAAGTCTGTTATCCACTGTGAACTTTTAATTTGTTCATGATTTAAAAGAGTATCTATGTTGGTCAAAAGAAACAAAATTTCAGTTAGGAAGGAAGAGTAAGTTCAGGAGATCTATTGTATATCATGGTGACTACAGTTAATAATACATTGTATATTTGAAAATTGCTAAAAGAGTAGATTTTAAGTTTTTGCACTGCAAAAAATAAGTATGTGAGTCCTTGGCTTGGCATGTGGAAATTAGTCCCATTTACCACCTGTATTAGTTTCATCTTGCTGCTGTATCAAATAAGCACAGCTCAGTGGCTTAAAACAATACACATTTATCTTCTCACAGTTCCAGAGGCCAGAAGTCCAGAATCCTCAGTCTCCTGGGCTTCAGTCAAGGTGTCAGCAGGGCTGGTTCCCTCTGGATCCTGAGGGAGAATCCATTTCCTTGCCGTTTCTAGTTTCTGGAAGCCCCGCACATTCCTTGGCTCATAACCCCTTCCCCAAATCACTCCAATCTTTGCTTCCATTGTCACATCGGCTACTTCCTCTTCTGAAGTCAAATCTTCATCTGTCTCCATCTTATAGGGACACTTATGACATTTAGGGCTCTTATACATTTAGGGCTCACTCTGATAATCTAGGCTAATCTTCCCACCTCAAAAGCCTTAATCTCATCTGCAAAGTCTCTTTTGCCATGTAAGGTGACATTCGCTGGTTCCAGGGATTTGGACCTCGATACCTTTGGGGTCCATTATTCAGCCAACGACAGCACCTTTTCATTTGACGCTAACTAGATGACTCAGAGGATCATGTTTAGTCTGGGGCAAAACCTTATAAGATTAGAAAATATTAGCAAAACATAAGGCTGACATAACTACCCTGAAAGCAAATGTTTTAGATTTAAGGAGTGTTATCTCGGGAAAGCAAATGTTACCTTTTAGAATTCTTGAGGAATTCAACCTGTTAGGAAATAAACCATTTATTTGCTAGAAAATACATCTTATTTAAATAGTAGCTTTTTATTATAATTCATATTTTAATTTTACGTGTTATGACAATTAGCATTGTCATGATGACTTCGTCTAATTTTCCCCAGGATTTTATCATAGGTGTTTTCCTCAGAGTTCCCTCATTGCTGGGACTTCCTTTCTTCTCTTTAACTGATCACGAATCCACTGGGCTTTGGGCTGTGTCAAAGTTCTGCTTTGTCCAAAAGTGCTGCTACAGGGAACATGATTCTGCTGAGGAAAAAAGGTGCAGGGTTTTGGAGGAGTATTTTACTTCCTCCATGTTGCAAACAGTTAATGTCCTACAGAATGTGGTTGAATATCTAATGCAGGCAGAAGCATGTTTTAAAATGTGTAAATTCAATTTTCTCCAGCCCTGACGTGAGTAGCAGAAGATCTGATTCAAACGTGAAGCAGCTGACTTACGTGGAGCTGGACCCTGGCCTTTGGTTTCTCATTGTAAAGTGAAGAATTACGCTAGGTTATCTGTAAGTTCCCTTCCTTCTCTCCCATGCCAGAAGTCTACCTTTAAAAGTTTCTCCACTATTTGGTGAAGGCCTTTGTGGGCCCTTTGGGGTCATTCTTGAGGCTCCCCTCTCGGTAGTTTCCTCCTTGAGCTCTCCATAGCAGCAACAGCACTCAACATGCAAAGCAAACACACACAACTAGAAAACAAAGGAAGAGAGAATTTGAAAGCTTTAGGCATCATATTTATTTGCTCCTTGGTTCATGTGACAAAAGGGGGCAGCTCACAGTGTGTAAATGAAGTTCATACTTGTCAGTTACCTGCCCAAGTGCTGTAAACCACAGTCCTTCCCATCAGCCAAACACTGAGCTACTTTCTCAGCCCACCTGCCATGGTGCCTGTGTGTGTGGTGTGAGCCGGGGTTGCTTTGTGCCTTAGGCTCTCACTCAATCTGCTCAGTGGGGCTCTGCTCTGGCAGTGTCAGTGTCAGGGGTGCAGCTGGCTGGGGTGCATCCGAATGGTCACCCTCCCCTCCTTCCCCTACTCTCTCCTAATACCCAAGTTTCTGTTGCTGAACAATGTAATGCAGCTTAGCCTTCTTTTTTGTTTCCTTATCCTTGCTCGTGGTGATTTTAACCACTTACTGTGACATTTTTCTTGTAAAAACAGTTCCTTCTCTGAGTATGTCTGAGAATGTCTGATTATGTCTCATCCAATGTTAAAATAATGACGTACTTATTCTCTGCATACTTAGCTATCCTATAATCCAAAATGGACAGAGAGAGGGGTGTTGCTAAGGGCAAGAGGATCTTGGGCTTGAATACAGTCTTGCTTTGAAAGCATGGCTTTTCTTAGAACCAAGTAGTGCAAAATAAATAGTTTTTTTTTATATATATAATAAGTGAATAAGTAGCTTTTCAATACCAGATAACTATTATCTCTAGTTTCTCTTTTGGCCTTCTTCCTGTGTTCATGAATGCCTTTGCTTTGGAAATAATAATGAATTACTTTACCCTTCCTCCATTTTCTATGTTACCTTTTTCATCCAAAGTGAAATAGGCAGAATCAAGTTTGTAGGTTAGAGGAAAGATGATCAGATCTAGTGTTGGGAGACTTGGATTAGAGTCCTGGTTCTCCACTCACTAGATTGCTCACCCTGGTGAAGTCACTCAACAGATCTGGGTCCCATCTCATTATATGAAACACGAGAGGCTGCGGGAGAGAACATCTAAAGCTTCTATTAAAATATCACTGAATTCTAAGTAGGTCATCTTTCACAGTAGATTTTTCCACACTTAAATTGACCTTAGAAAGGCTGTCTTCACATCTAGGCAAGCCATTTTTAACAGTACACTTGTCATTCCCTCTCCTAAACAATAT